TAACATTCAAAATTTTCTGAACTTCTGACTCAATGAAAGTCCAAATTCTGACCAATGATGATAAAAAAAACTCGTGAGAACTACAAAATTGAAAAAATCCGCAGTACGACTACAAAGTGTAAAAAAAAATAACATTCAAAATTTTCTGAACGTCTGACTCAATGAAAGTTCAAATTCTGACCAATGATGATAAAAAAAACTCATGAGAACTACAAAATTGAAAAAATCCGCAGTACGTTTCAGCTCTCCAACTCTTTTGACTTGCAAAACTTCAGATAAAAATAAAAAAGTGTCTCACTAAATGATGAACTTGGGAACTTCCGATCGACTTGGAAATAAGTTGAAATCTCAAAATTTTAAAATTAAAATTAAAAAAAGACCTCCAGGAGTACGTAATAAATGAGAAGGATAGGAATAGACACCAGCGTCCCGAAGCAGACCCTGCACATCAAATCATTCACCATATTCCACAAATAGAAGGTATTTTAATTGGGGGGGCATAAAAAAGGCAACACGAAAAAAAAGAGGACATGATAGAGTCAAGGAGGTATACGCACAGACTCGGCAGCCATTTTCATGCATTCATTTATGCATTCAAAGGCAACCATTTTCATGCATTGAATTAAATTCATTTATAGGCAGCAATTTTCATTTATTCATTTATTCATTTTATATTCACTCATTCATTTAATATCCATCCATTCATTTAATATTCATTTATTCATTTAATATTCATTTAATATTCATTTAATATTCATTTAATATTCATTTAATATTCATTGATTGATTGATTGATTTTCCCTGTCATCATCCGCAACTTCTGAATCACCTCTTTCGGTCTTTGGCTACTGTATGTACACGACCAGGGGGTGAGGTCCCACTAGCAAAGACGATTGGATTTAACACCTGCACCGGACGTGTCTTTGTCCTGCAACTGGACGTGTCTATGGAGAGGTGCACAAAATCAAAATTGATCTGCTTTTCCACATCTCTGCATAGAACATGCCCAGATAAGGGCCAGATTCAGATGCTTAATCCAATCCTCTTTGCTAGTGCCAGGGGCCTCGTCCCAGCAACCTGTACCTCTCCCGGACCCAGCCAGAATCAGATTATTATAATATTATTATGATTATATTATTTGTCATTCTCATTGTTAGTGTTATCAGGATTACTAATATTACTACTGTTACTACTGTTATTATTATCATGATTTATTGTTAATTTGAATTTTGATTAAATTCAATTAATTAAATTTAGTATATATTATTATGACTATTATTTTATAATATCACTGTTATTGTTATCAACTTATCAGTATTACTATTAGTACTTTTGTTGTTATTATCTTTTTTCTTATCCTTCAGGTCGCCATATTAGATCTGTCAGGCAGTGTCAGCTATTTTGTCTTGAGAAATTTGCGGAATAGAAGCATAAAATATAGCTAATTCTATCACACCATAAATAGGTAAAACACACAAAAATTGAAACCAAATGTCTGGAGCGGCCTAAGCCTTGCAGCAAAATAACTTGCCGCCACAAGAAGTAAAAGGCGGGCTCGGGGCAGGGTCGGAGCGTCAGAAGGATTTCGAATTTCTGGGCCCATGTCAAATTCACATGTCCGAAAAAACAAAACAAGAACCCAGCAGCCTAACTCAGTTGGTAAGGCTCGCAAGTGGCATTCAGGAGGTCGCGGTTCAATCCCCATTGGCCTCATGTACCTTCCTGGGCATGCTTGGCGCCCGCCACCTAGAGATAGACCACTGGATCCCCCGATTGGCATTTACCAGAGTCTGCTGATGTTCATAGGAGAGGGGACCTGAGGGGAGACACAGGGATTGGTCCTGTTGGCATGATCCCTGATGCTACCGGCTGTCCCCTAGCCGGTGTCGCCCACCTGCAGGTCGGGAGCAGCCCCCGCATGTTCTCTCGTGAACACGGTTAAGGCTGCTACGGGGTTCCCCGTATGCCTACAATTAGGAGCAGTGGTAGGTAGGTAGTGTAAGGTGAAATTGAGAGAAGAATATAGCTTTAAAAACAAGCTTTGGCCCTGATTGCAGTTGGATACACTTTTTCGAGTACTCCGTGCAAGTGTGCCCTCAGTTAGGGCACTTAGGCAGAACGAAGAACACGGGGAGCACGGCTGTCAGACAAAAAAAAAAAAAAAAAGCCAACAAAGCTTTGGCCGTGAAAGTGGTTGGATGGATTTGAACGGCGCTAGTGTGAGTGTGCCCTCAGCGAGGCCATTTTGAGCACGAGCAATATGCGCTGCCTTGCTGGCAGGGAAAGGAAGAAAGGAACAAAAGGAGAAAAAAAGGCCATTTTGAGCACGCGCTGCCTTGCTGGCAGGGAAAGGAAGTAAGGAACAAAAGGAGAAAAAAAGAAAAAAGCAACGCTTCCCTCTCCCCGTAATAGTGGTCAGATGCATTCTGGAAAGTGATCATTTGAGTATGGCCTCCATGACGTCCTTCCACGACATCATGGATCTCTGGCATGTTTGTTCTTTTTTTTTTTCCCTTCAGGTAGACCGCCAGCACCACGACATCATGGATCTCTGGCATGTTTGTTCTTTTTTTTTTTCCCCCTTCAGGTAGACCGCCAGCACCGGTGCCACTTCCGAAATCCCGACTGCAGGTACCCTCACGCAGAAGGCTCGGGAAATAGCGGCGCACAGTGGGCAGGTAGCTTTGGGATTTTCGGAGCGGGTGTACTGGTGGTTTAAGAAGATCATGGAGACTGGTACTTGAGAACATATTGATGAAACAAACAAAATAGGAACAGTTAACAAAATATAATGATTATAATCATAAATCGTTTTCCTTTTTTTTTCAAGTCACACAAACTCCTTTATATTCTGGGGAGATAGCAGTCCGATTACGTCTGAGGACTCTCAGCTCTACCATCGGGATACGAAAGCCCTCGATTTCATATTCCAGTGGAAGCTCCCCCGGGGAGCTCAACCGGAACTGCAATGAACTACCCAGTGGAAGCTCCCTAGGTGTCGAGGAATCTCAGCCCTACCATCGGGATACGAAAGCCCTCGGTTTCGTGCCAAGGGTCGCCAGTCACCCCCATTTGGAGATCCCACCCTGAAAACCGTAACAAAGCCCGGCATCAAATCTGCGTACGTACAAGACCCACTCATGTCTACCAGGCTTACGCACCCTTGCACCCTCAGGGCCCCTCCCCCTTCCCCCCCAAACAGGGAGTAAATCC